CTCTCTCTCTCTCTCTCTCTCTCTCTCTCTCTCTCTCTCTCTCTCTCTCTAGTTATGTGCAGCCCTGTGTATATGGTAGTTTGTAATAATGCACACACATCAAAATCGTTGTATCAAAACCATTTTCCTCTACCTATGAAACCCCAGTTACAGAACTCCGATGCTTCTGTTCAAGCTTTAAAACGGTGGATAGAGAAGAAGAGCAACACAACTGAAGGATTGTATCTCCGTTCAAATTAGCATGAAGCTAAAATGGACGTTAAGGGGCGTAGATAGAGCATGCGCGTTGATATCCCTAGTCCCACCTGTAACTGAGTGATTAACTAGATGCATTTTATTGAGAAATATGAAAAAAGAAATAAAGTCTTACCCCTCGATTCTTATCGCCACCTTGTAAACCACGGCGACTATCGCAGTCAGTACGAGACCGACAGGACTGGCCCCTCTGGAACAGAAAGAGAGCAACAGCTAAAAAATACAAGTTGAGAGTCTGTACCATTTTTTCTTCCGGCTCTATTGTGCTGATGTTCAGGTGTATATCAGTATGTAGTGTCTCTACTTTAAAGAGTCCTCTCCTGCTGATGTTCAGGTGTATATCAGTATGTAGTGTCTCTACTTTAAAGAGTCCTCTCCTGCTGATGTTCAGGTGTATATCAGTATGTAGTGTCTCTACTTTAAAGAGTCCTCTCCTGCTGATGTTCAGGTGTATATCAGTATGTAGTGTCTCTACTTTAAAGAGTCCTCTCCTGCTGATGTTCAGGTGTATATCAGTATGTAGTGTCTCTACTTTAAAGAGTCCTCTCCTGCTGATGTTTAGTTGTATATCAGTATGTAGTGTCTCTACTTTTAAAGAGTCCTCTCCTGCTGATGTTCAGGTGTATATCAGTATGTAGTGTCTCTACTTTAAAGAGTCCTCTCCTGCTGATGTGCAGGTGTATATCAGTATGTAGTGTCTCTACTTTAAAGAGTCCTCTCCTGCTGATGTTGAGGTGTATATCAGTATGTAGTGTCTCTACTTTTAAAGAGTCCTCTCCTGCTGATGTTCAGGTGTATATCAGTATGTAGTGTCTCTACTTTAAAGAGTCCTCTCCTGCTGATGTGCAGGTGTATATCAGTATGTAGGTCTCTACTTTAAAGAGTCCTCTCCTGCTGATGTTCAGATGTATATCAGTATGCAGTGTCCTCTACTTTAAAGAGTCCTCTCCTGCTGATGTTCAGGTGTATATCAGTATGTAGTGTCTCTACTTTAAAGAGTCCTCTCCTGCTGATGTTCAGGTGTATATCAGTATGTAGTGTCTCTACTTTTAAAGAGTTCTCTCCTGCTGATGTGCAGGTGTATATCAGTATGTAGTGTCTCTACTTTAAAGAGTCCTATCCTGCTGATGTTCAGGTGTATATCAGTATGTAGTGTCTCTACTTTAAAGAGTCCTCTCCTGCTGATGTTCAGGTGTATATCAGTATGTAGTGTCTCTACTTTAAAGAGTCCTCTCCTGCTGATGTTCAGGTGTACATCAGTATGTAGTGTCTCTACTTTAAAGAGTCCTCTCCTGCTGATGTTCAGGTGTATATCAGTATGGAGTGTCTCTACTTTAAAGAGTCCTCTCCTGCTGATGTTCAGGTGTATATCAGTATGTAGTGTCTCTACTTTAAAGAGTCCTCTCTGCTGATGTTCAGGTGTATATCAGTATGTAGTGTCTCTACTTTAAAGAGTCCTCTCCTGCTGATGTTCAGGTGTATATCAGTATGTAGTGTCTCTACTTTAAAGAGTCCTCTCCTGCTGATGTTCAGGTGTATATCAGTATGTAGTGTCTCTACTTTAAAGAGTCCTCTCCTGCTGATGTTCAGGTGTATATCAGTATGTAGTGTCTCTACTTTAAAGAGTTCTCTCCTGCTGATGTGCAGGTGTATATCAGTATGTAGTGTCTCTACTTTAAAGAGTCCTATCCTGCTGATGTTCAGGTGTATATCAGTATGTAGTGTCTCTACTTTAAAGAGTCCTCTCCTGCTGATGTTCAGGTGTATATCAGTATGTAGTGTCTCTACTTTAAAGAGTCCTCTCCTGCTGATGTTCAGGTGTACATCAGTATGTAGTGTCTCTACTTTAAAGAGTCCTCTCCTGCTGATGTTCAGGTGTATATCAGTATGGAGTGTCTCTACTTTAAAGAGTCCTCTCCTGCTGATGTTCAGGTGTATATCAGTATGTAGTGTCTCTACTTTAAAGAGTCCTCTCTGCTGATGTTCAGGTGTATATCAGTATGTAGTGTCTCTACTTTAAAGAGTCCTCTCCTGCTGATGTTCAGGTGTATATCAGTATGTAGTGTCTCTACTTTAAGAGTCCTCTCCTGCTGATGTTCAGGTGTATATCAGTATGTAGTGTCTCTACTTTAAAGAGTCCTCTCCCTGCTGATGTTCAGGTGTATATCAGTATGTAGTGTCTCTACTTTAAAGAGTCCTCTCCTGCTGATGTTCAGGTGTATATCAGTATGTAGAGTCTCTACTTTAAAGAGTCCTCTCCTGCTGATGTTCAAGTGTATATCAGTATGTAGTGTCTCTACTTTAAAGAGTCCTCTCCTGCTGATCTTCTACTTCTATTACAGAAGCCATGCTGATATCATCCATGAATACACGCTCTGTGCATGAAGCTCTGTCATGAGATTAGCGAGTGTTTCATGCCTTCACTCTCCCTGTGGTGTTGCATACTGTGTACACACACACACACACACACACACACACACACACACACACACACACACACACACACACACACACACACACACACACACACACACACACACAGGTTACAGAGCAGTAGCAGAGTGACCTTTAGAAAGTCAGAGCGTTGATGTCTTTGCACGAAAGTCTTTGTTTCTTCCTCCGAGCGAAACACATGATACTGATCCCAGATCTGAGTCAATTCACCACACTGTCACCATATCATAGCTCAGATGGGACTTTTTACACATTTGTAGACTTTTAAAAGTGATCTCTAGACAATTGGCCATCAGAAAAAAAGGACATATCTTATTTGCGAGTAAACCATGCACTGATGCAAGAACATGTGGATATTTGGGTTGCTATGGCTTCACCACATGTAACATGGTATTAATGTGTTGGTGTGTAAGCTTGTTTGCGTACTGTATTATGTGTGTCTTGGAAAATATATAATAAAATCTAGGAGTGCAGCCGATTGCATTTGCTTTTTCAAAAAGGTCTCTTGCAAACCTTTTAGCTTTTACGTCATAACCTACTTTCCTATAGCATGTGGACTGTATACAAATGGTAAGCTGCCTGGAAACCAAACGAAATGCAGCCGACATGATACAGTAATTGAAGACTCATCCTCCAGTTTGGTCCTCGAAGATAATGTGAAAATAATAATAATAATAGTGACAATCAGCAGCTATTCCAGCTCTAGCTCCAGCTCCTACTCAAGTAAACGTCTGAGTGCTAATGTGTGCCTGCTGTTGCTTTGTCTAGGACTCCGAGAGACCAGTTAATGTGTGTGTGTGTGTGTGTTGAGAGTGTGTGTGGGTGGGTGGGTGAGAGTGTGTGGCACAGCGGGGAGTTATTTTTTGCCTCCAGTCTTTGTTTGTGACTGAGAATATGACAAAGGAGGACTGGAGTACTCTCATACAGTGAAGCATGATGGATTTTTTTGTATATCTCATATCTCCAGCATGTATTAATAACATGATACAAGAAGAAAATCAATGTGCAGCCTTGAAACTACTTTTTGTGTCCAATGTGACACAAATTATTCCAATTTCTAACACGGCTTAGTTGAAATATACTTAATTCTGATTGGTAACTTCGGACACTCCATAGATCTGCTAATTGACGCTAACAGACCGTTGCTAAGGATAACAGACCGTTGCTAAGGAGGATCATGGGACTTTGTATATATTTAAGATCCGCAGTGGACAACACACGTTACAGGTAAAAGGGGGGGAAGTCATGACACAAATGTATGACTTCTTCAGGGGGTTTTTAATGTGTTTTGGGTTTTTAATGGCTCGTCAATCTTGGTTGCCTACAGTGGTGTAGTGGAGATTTTTTGACTGGGTGGACGGGGCGGGGGGAGACACTATGGACGCGCTCGTGAACTGTCAACGGGGGGGGGGGGGGGGTTCCTCTGTGTCGCCTGTCACTCAACATGATGCCCTTTAAAAAATATCATAATAAAGGGCGGTACCGGCCGTCAGCGAACCGATCCGGCCTTCCTGCGCGTCTGTCACTCAAATGCGGGACATTGTCTCAATTTGTGGGACGCGGGACAATTCATAAAAATGCTGTGTGCAGTCCCGCACACCTGATCACCCTACACACACACACACACACACACACACGCTTCAAATCAAGTTGCATAAATGCTTGAACTATGTTTTTATTATAATTAGTTTTCGTCATTATTAAAACAAATACACACTTGCAACTGATAACACTGGCAATGATTTTATATTTATTAGACTGTTAAAAAAAAAATCATGCTTCAAATAAGTGGGGGTACGGACGGCGTGCCCCCGCGTCCAACGCCCACTACACCACTGTAACTCATGTAACTCACTGTGACTCATGTAATGTTGTCACAGTTGTCGTGGAGACGAGGCACGGACGCAGACGTTTTTACCTTTTCAAAAGAGGAATTGGATAAAACATCATTTTTTCATCTGCAGGATCGCACTTTGGTAAAAATGCTGTTTGAGGCACGACAGCAATCATCCTGTCATTTATTCAGGGTGTTGAAAACTGAAATCTGATCAGGTTAAAGTTGATGGTGATAGAAAAACCTGTTGTGATTCATTAGAGACAATATCTGCTGCAGAAATACATTCACTTTACTGTCACACACACACACACACACACACACACAGACACTCACACACACACAACACACACCACACACACACACACACACACACACACACAACACACACACACACACACACAACACACACACACACACACACACACACACACACACACACTTACATGAGAGCCAGTCCCAGGTAGTTGGCGGTGCTGCCCCAGTACATCGGGTTCTCTAAGACGTTGAAGGGGAAGCAGGTCACCTTCTCCTCCATCAGGATACCAAAATAATCACCTGGAACACACACACACACACACACCACACACACACACACACACCACACCACACACACACCACACACACACACACACACACACACACACGCACACACACACACACACACACACACACACACACATACCATGTTACATCACTTCAGGGGACATTACATTGACTTACATGCATTTCCTGGAGACTTATCCTAACCTTAACCATAACCAACACATGCCTAACCCTAACCAAGTCTTCACCCTAAATTAATGATTCCCCTCATGGGGACCTCCATTTTGTCCCCATAAGGGAGGCGAGTCCCCACACGTGACTGTGTAAACAGATTTAGGTCCCCACAAGTATAGTAATGCGCGCGCACGCGCCACACACACACACACACACACACACACCCACACACACACACACACACACACACACACACACACACACCACACACACACACCACAAACCACACACACACACACACACACACACACACACACAGAGAGGCTTGTTATCTGCTCATCTGTTAAATGCTCTCCCACAGCCAAGCTTTCTTTCTCCAAGTATTTTTTCTGACATTGGAAACTTTACTTTAATAAGTGAACGTGACATGAAGCGCTGCTGGTCCTGTTTTCTGTCAAAGAAAAGCTGTTAATGCCCAATTTGTATAACAATGTCACTTATTTTCGCACTACAGGGGGACAGATTATACAACAAGCGTTTGGTTTGGATACAAAGCATAAACTGACTTCTGCTGACCTCATTTCTGACAGCGTCTACCTGCAACACAAGTCTGAGTTGAAAGCAGAGCATAACTTCTGCGTGTGTTTCTGCGTCACTGTTGTTGCATTGTGGTTTTAAAATTGGCAGCATGTATTTGTAGAGAGTGTTGGAAGAGGTTAGAGAAGTGTTTGTGCGATAAGGAGGGGTTTCGATCCTCAGTAAGCTGTGTGTATCATTTTGTTTTGTTTAGATGTGTGTTGTTTCCAATCCTGTGCCATCGCTTTGAATCATCAGGTCACACTGACTCCAGAAGCTCTTTATAGAGAGAAAGAGACACATCAAATTACAACACACACCCTCAGGCTTTATCCTTCTACAATGTGTGTGTGTGTGTGTGTGTGTTTGTTTTTGTTGTGCAGACAGATTATGGTGAGGCGTCCTCACACCCTTAAACACCCATATACACAGGGTCGGCTCTAGAACAAATCGAATGGGGGGGAAATCATTTACCAAGGGGGGGCACACACTGCCGTCAACAACCAACACACAAACACCAACGCAACTTCAATTTAAAAAAATATGCTGTAAAGTCTATTGTCTTTCACACACATTGCAGGGTGTAGTGCTATTGTATAGTGCACCTATGACTTGTGCATACATGCACGGTTGTGGCACGACCACCAAAACAGAAACATATAAGGACAGAGGGTGTCGTTTTCTCATACTGATATTCTGCATAAACTGTGCCGTTGTATTTGCTGTAAAGTGTCTTTACTGTAGGTTATTTTTTATTATATGTACAGCACTTTGGCTCGACCAAAAATCGTTGAAAAATGTGCTATATAAATAAAACTTGATTTGATTTGATAAGGACATAGGCCACCATATGAAAAGTGTGCAAATGTATTTAGTATCCTATCCATGTGAACATGTTTTAGGTGGGGGTGGACCTAACCTCCTCTAGGAGGGTCTGGGGGCATGCTCCCCCGGGAAGATTATTTTTAAAATATTGAAGTTTAAATGCATCAATCTGGTGCACTTTGAGAGCAAAGTGAAGAGATCTATGGATAGCCTACATCTCTCAGCATCCATGTGAAACAGAACTGTACACAGATTAACTTTTTTCTTTATGGATATTTTACTAATCACTCCCCTTTTAAACTGTATTCTTGTGTTACTGTCCTATAGTATTTCATACCCGTTTTTCATTTATTCTCTCTTTAATAACTATAATGATCATATAAACTTAAGGTATTCCTCGAAAATACTTACATAAATGGTGACCAAACCGTTTGAGACCCACTGAGATAACCTACACTAAAGTGAACTATCTAAACACTGAGAGAGTCCTTACCTCACTGAGCTGACGTTATAAGATCCTCTCAGTCTGACAGGAGAGGACTCTCCCCACCTTGGTGTAGAAACAGCTCTTTATATCCGTTAGCATAGCTAGCTAACCAGATGCTAACAACAACATTCCACGTTACCGCTCGCGCACTCACAAAATGCGCTCGTGCCACACACACACATAGCTTGAATGAAACACAGAGACCCATGTACTTGTACTGTACTGTATATCATATTATTTTCGATGGCTTTACTGTATAATCAGTGTAACAGATGAACAGATCGTCACTGGGCTTTCATCTAAACACACAGCCACGTAATGATAACCAAAAAAAAGGTCGGGGGTCATTGGTCAAGCAACACACCAATCAGAGAGCAGCAGTGAGCACACCTCAGGCTGTGTTTTATATTTGTATTCTTTATTTCTGATGTATTTCACACAAAAAACCTTTAGTGGAAACGTTTTCACTTATATGATTAGAAAAAGAACAAAACGGCAAAGTGGCAAGGCTTGCCCACCCTGCGTTGGGGGGGCACAGTGACTCATTTGGGGGGGGCATGGCCCGCGAATGACCCCCCATGACGCCGACCCTGCATATACACATGGGGCAGCTAATTCAATGCTATACATTATTTCCTGCATTTTATTTTGTTAGTAAAATAAGTAAAAGTAAAGAGGCTTCTAAAAGTCTACTTCAGTAAAAAGTACCCATAACTAGCAGCTGCTTTAAAGAGTACCTGACCTCCCTTTATATTAATAGAACAATAATGTCATTGTTAGCTAATGAATGTTTCCATGCTGAACAACGGCAACATGACAACGTTTCCATTGGTCCCTCTTCTTTAGAGAAGACCAGGAAATGATGGATACACGGATCGTGTTCAAATCAATAGGCACGCAATGACTCTAAAGAATAATGATCACGCATCAAACACACATTCAGACTAAAGGAACCAGCTGTTTGGAAAATGAGAGAAGTAGAAAGTACAAGTATTTGAGTTCAACATGTAAGAAGTAGAAAGTACAGGTATTTGAGTTCAACATGTGAGAAGTAGAAAGTACAGGTATTTGAGTTCAACATGTAAGAAGTAGAAAGTAACGGTATTTGAGTTCAACATGTAAGAAGTAAGAAAGTACAGGTATTTGTGTTCAACATGTAAGAAGTAGAAAGTACAGGTATTTGAGTTCAACATGTAAGAAGTAGAAAGTACAGGTATTTGGGTTCAACATGTAAGAAGTGAAAGTACAGGTATTTGTGTTCAACATGAAGAAGTAGAAAGTACAGGTATTTGGGTTCACATGTAAGAAGTAGAAAGTACAGGTATTTGAGTTCAACATGTAAGAAGTAGAAAGTACAGGTATTTGAGTTCAACATGTAAGAAGTAGAAAGTACAGGTATTTGAGTTCAACATGTAAGAAGTAGAAAGTACAGGTATTTGGGTTCAACATGTAAGAAGTAGAAAGTACAGGTATTTGAGTTCAACATGTAAGAAGTAGAAAGTACAGGTATTTTGGGTTCAACATGTAAGAAGTAGAAAGTACAGGTATTTGAGTTCAACATGTAAGAAGTAGAAAGTACAGGTATTTGGGTTCAACATGTAAGAAGTGAAAGTACAGGTATTTGTGTTCAACATGTAAGAATAGAAAGTACAGGTATTTGGGTTCACATGTAAGAAGTAGAAAGTACAGGTATTTGAGTTCAAAACATGTAAGAAGTAGAAAGTACAGGTATTTGAGTTCAACATGTAAGAAGTAGAAAGTACAGGTATTTGAGTTCAACATGTAAGAAGTAGAAAGTACAGGTATTTGTGTTCAACATGTAAGAAGTAGAAAGTACAGGTATTTGAGTTCAACATGTAAGAAGTAGAAAGTACAGGTATTTGAGTTCAACATGTGAGAAGTAGAAGTACAGGTATTTGAGTTCAACATGTGAGAAGTAGAAAGTACAGGTATTTGAGTTCAACATGTGAGAAGTAGAAAGTACAGGTATTTGAGTTCAACATGTGAGAAGTAAAAAAGTACAGGTATTTGTGTTCAACATGTAAGAAGTAGAAAGTACAGGTATTTGAGTTCAACATGTGAGAAGTAGAAAGTACAGGTATTTGAGTTCAACATGTAAGAAGTAGAAAGTACAGGTATTTGAGTTCAACATGTAAGAAGTAGAAAGTACAGGTATTTGAGTTGCAACATGGAAGTAGAAGTACAGGTATTGGGTTCAACATGTAAGAAGTAGAAAGTACAGGTATTTGTGTTCAACATGTAAGAAGTAGAAATAGTTACAGGTATTTGAGTTCACATGTAAGAAGTAGAAAGTACAGGTATTTGGGTCAACCATGTAAGAAGTAGAAAGTACAGTATTTGTGTCAACATGTAAGAAGTAAGAAAGTACAGGTATTGTGTTCAACATGTAAGAAGTAGAAAGTACAGGTATTGAGTTCAACATGTAAGAAGTAGAAAGTACAGGTATTTGTGTTCAACATGTAAGAAGTAGAAAGTACAGGTATTTGAGTTCAACATGTAAGAAGTAGAAAGTACAGGTATTTGGGTTCAACATGTAAGAAGTCAAAGTAAAAAGTTGTCAGAAAAATAAGTAGTGGAGTAAAGTACTGATACCAATTTTTTTTACTTAAGTACAGTAAAAAAGTATTTGTACTCCACTACTTCCCACCTCTGGTATTCAGCAATCAGCTTTATGAATACTGAAGAGAGACTGCATTCTTATCCATGAAGCTGTCAGTGTGGCAGAGTACAATTCACCCTCTAGAAATGTGTATCAGTTTTTCAACACTCTTGTTATCTGTTTACTGCCGTCAGAGTTCACTTGTTTTGACGGTGTGATAGTGATTCTTATCGGCTGCGTCTCATCACTCACACTGTTGTCCTTGAAGAAAGACTGAGAAATGGATTCAAACAGTCCTGCACTAAACGGTCAGAGAATACAAAAATCCCATCGGAGTCTCTTGTGATTCCTCTGCTTGATCTGCATGCAAAGTGAACACACACACACACACACACACACACACACACACTTCAGGGGACATTACATTGACTTACATGCATTTCCTGGAGACGTATCCTAACCCTAACCATAACCAACACATGCCTAACCCTAACCCTAACCAAGTCTTCACCCTAAAATTAATGATTCCCCTCATGGGGAGCCCCATAAGGGAGGCGAGTCCCCACACGTGACTGTGTAAACAGATTTAGGTCCCCACAATATAGTAATGCTAGGCCACACACACACACACACACACACACACACACACACACACACACACACACACACACACACACACACACACACACACACACACACACACACACACACACACACACACACACACACACACACACACACACACCCCTTCTGTCGACACAGTTGAGGATTAGTTGGCACAGAGTGAAGAAGGTGATGATCTGAGACTGTCTGGATGTTGGTGGTGACTCAAAAACACTCAAAACGGACTGACCTAGAAACCTGATCTTGTCAAATGGTCACATGGTCACATGATGATACTCGTGCCCATTTGATTGGATGCCTGGAAGCACACAATGGCACAACCAATGAAAACAAACATGGCTGTCCTCGAGGCAGATGCAACGTTTTGCATGTGCTGATTGTGAGGGCATGCAAGTGTTTGTTCACATGAATACGAATGAGCAAATGTGTGTGAAGTCACGTTTCTTACAGCGAGTGTCTGCATGGTTTTCTCACGTATGCGTCACACATGAGCCATGATCCAGAAAATCTAATTATAGTAGTATAAGTAGGGCAGAAATCATAGTTTTTGGTCGCAGTCCTACAAATAAAAATAAACTTTGCGGCAAGAAAACTTCAAAATGTATGATGAATAAGTTTCAAAGTATATATATAAAAACATAACTAAATATTCAGGTCTCAAGATAAGAATTTAACAATATATTATGTAGCTCCTATAATAACACATAAAACAAATACTGGTCATGATACAATTGACTATAACCACAACAAGAGGTTTTTATATTTTAGAAATACATATTATTATTTAACTAACCTAATGACGACCTAATACCCCGCGACCCGACCACGGATAAGCGGGAGAAGATGGATGGATGGATAACCTAATGAAAGTCAGGATTAGACCCCACTCACAATGGCATTGGTAACTCACTGATCTGAATCGTGTATATTTACCATGTGGATATTTAAGGTAAGCGCGTAAGCATGCTACTAAATGCTGAGAACAAAACACAAACTGAATCCTAAACATTTAAAAATACAAAACTTACTGAACTTAAGTCACTCGAAAAAAGGGTCTTACTAAGAAGATATGACAGTTTACCAAAGAGTAAAGCAGTAAAGGCCTAGATTAAGTCCCCAATGGAGGTCATGGATCATACAGATGACCAGATGTTGCACTGTTTAGGGTAGTGGTGGTCTAATGGATAGTGAGGTGGGCTGAAGATTGGAAGGTGTGAGTTCAAATCCCGCCTGGAACACCACCACTAGTGTGCCCTTGAGTAAGGCACTTAGCCTTTAGTTACTCCAGGGAGAATGTCCCTGTAATTATAAGTCGCTTTGGATAAAAGCGTCAGCTAAATGTAATGTAATGTAATACACTTCCCATAATGCAACTCTCTGTGCAACATACATTACGATACGATAATACTTGAATGGTCAGATCCAGCTCCATGTGTAACATCAACAGACACATATCAAGACACAAGACATGGAAAACAAACAACAGACATTGAACATAGCAGCAGGATCAGTGAGAGCTGCTCAAAGAGCCTTCAGCGTGCATCTGATCTGTAGCTCTGTGTTCACTGAGAGGACTGACTGGAGCACAAAGGATGCTTCAGGCTGACTTTAGTGAATCTCCATTAGATGGTAGCAGTTCAGATTCTCTGCTCAGAGCATGCTTTGGGTCCCAGATGATGTTGTTGGACAGGTTGGTATGGTCTGTGAGTCAGAAAGTCTCCGACAGGTGGACCAACAGTCTTTGAGCAGATTTCTAACAGGTGGAGCAGTTTTGATTTGAAAGCTGTTGACAAACACTTGACATGTGAAAACCACCAGACTTCCCCCTTAATATTTTCCAGTGTGTTTGATACCCACCTAGGAAGGTTCCAGTGAACCCCAGACGCAGGAAGCTTCCCACCACGAGCACCGTGCCCAGAACCATCAGAGCTACACCGACATAAAACACATCCGTCCGCTCCATCAGATCCCAGCGGGCCTGCAGCCTCATCGCCACCGTCATGCTGCAGGAAACACATCACAACCTCCTTTATTCAAACAGGTACATGCTCTGCTTGTAGTGGTGGTGCTAAGGGGCATCGCCCTGCTGTGAAAAATACCGTTACTGTGGATTTAAGGGGCAGAAAATAAGTGAAAAGAGAGAAAAGACGACCAAAAAGAAATGTGTGTTGAACCAAATAAAAGACTGTTATGTGGACCTACTTTAATAAGACTCATGCTGCTCATGACGCACGCTGTTCTACAATGAAATACAAATAATTAGAGTAGGGGGGTCAAACTCAAGGCCCGGGGTCCAAATCCGGCCCGTGACTTCATTTCATGCGGCCCCACTAGAGCTTGCAAAGAATATAATATGTTTATTATTCGGTTACATGACGATTTACAGAAGCACGTTGCCCATAAACTACATGTCCCACAATGCATCTCAAATTTGCCTTTTTTCAGAATCTGACTTTTTTTTCAAAATGTTACTTTCTTTTTCTTTAACTTTTTAAATCATTTTGTGACATTCTCCCTGAAGAGACTTGCAATTATTTGCCCTAAGCTTCTGCTTTCAGACGTAGTTAATGATGAAGTTATTACCCTATCCGATAATAATCCAATGCAGAGGCAATGATGTAATATAATACATTATTTTATATATATTAAATATTTATATATGTATTTTTATATAGTCTTATATATAAAACTGGCCCTTTGAGTGCAACCATGATGCTAATGTGGCCCGAGATGAAATTGAGTTTGACACCCCTGGTCTAAACTAAATGCTGCGGTGATGAAACACCATATCATGGATTATCAAGGATTCTCTCTGAAACAGTTTGGAGCTCAAAGGCTTTCTCTCTTGCCGGTTATACCACAAGGTGAGTTCCTTTTCACTTCCTGTTTCAAAAGTGCTGATTTGGGTATAAAGCTTTAAAAAATATAAAAAAGCAGGGGTCTGAGCTCATGCGGGACCCGGCAGCTACTGTCTAAACTAAATGCTGCCGTGATGAAACGCCATATCATGGATCATCAAGGATTCTCTCTGAAACAGTCTGGAGCTCAAAGGCTTTCTCTCTTGCCGGTTATACCACAAGGTGAGTTCCTTTTTACTTCCTGCTTCTTCACACACATGCTCTCCAGTACAGGTTAGCTCTGAGTGTTAGCGATGCTAATGTAAACACCGACCATATTACGTCCAAAACAGTCGGGCACTGTTTCTGATAGCAACGTTTCTGATTGGGCCGTTGTTACGAACTTGGATACTCAAAGGTAAGAACTCAAATGCACGACCCGGGAGCCAGAGGTAAAGTATAATTAATATACTTTATTTCTTCCACAAAATATATTCAAAAGAAAAACACTTTTACGAGGTGACAAAAAAGGGTCCAAAAAGATACAGCAAAATATCGCTTACAACTTGAGGAATTAAACTTTCAATAAGTTTCAGAAGCATAACGTAGGTTTGACAAAAGAAGCAATCGACGACGAGCAGAGTACTGGCATGAGGACAAGACAAGACGAACTGACACTGAACACTGGGAGACTGGGGAATTTAAACACTCAACAACAAGACACAGGTGAAAACAATCAGGGGCGGGGCTGACACTGATGAGGGCGGGAGAACACATAAGGAAAGGGAGTCAAGGAACCTGAAATGAGACGTGACAAAAACAAAACAGGAAGTGAAAAACAATACAACATAAACATGAGACATGACTGACTAACACTTTTGACGGTGCACAACAGCCGTGGGTCCACATTTCAGATATTACGTCATATCGGACGCAAATCTGGATCAGCTCCGTTGTTCCCCGTTTTAGAGATTTGGGTACGGAGGAAAAGAGAGAGGGTTTTATTTCCTGACGCTGCGTGAGTTCCCCGACGCACCGGGGACACATGTTGATGTAGAGAAGACATCAACAAGTGCATTTTGCATGATAGGTCCCCTTTAAGGTCTCCTTGAAAATTGACCCACAGATTGGACGATCACTGTTCCTGCCCTAGTCACACACAGACACATTTATACATATGCACACAGTCGATATATACAAAATAACAGTCACTTCACAATCTGTGAAAAGTGTACATTTAGTGCAAAACTGTCTATAGCAGCGTAATATAATAATAATAATAATAGATTCAATATGTATAGCGCCTTTTACGGGACCCAAGGCCGCTTTACACGGTGAACAAACAAACAAAAGTTTAAAAAAATATGCTCCAGAATCAAAAGTAGGTTTTGGGTTAATAAGATACATGTGGGTTAGGGGGTCTGTGATGTGAGTCTTATGGTGGCTGAGCCTTTGTCAAATCAAACAGGAAGTCTAATGTCATTCTGCTTGTTGCCCCCCCTGCGTCACAAACAAAGGGCGACCGCTGAGCTCTGTGTGTGTGTGTGTGTGTGTGTGTGTGTGTGTGTGTGTGTGTGTGTGTGTGTGTGTGTGTGTGTGTGTGTGTGTGTGTGTGTGTGCGCTGGGAGGTCTGGGAGGGGACACCGCTGGGACTGGGATTGGAAAGGAGATGGAAAAGGGGTCTGGAGGACGAGAAGTCGACGGGGGATTTTTTGTGTGAAAGGCTTTGAGGTCTGAATCTACTGTTATGACTGATGACGGGTCAATGATCACGTAAAAGCACTCTGTAGCTACGAGAAATAAAACATATATGAGATAAGATAAGAATAAATACATCCTGAAGGAAATTGTTGAGTCAGTTACAAAAATACAATAAACACAGCAGCATAATAATAAAACTGTTCACTAACAGTGCCGTAAAAAGAGCAATTAAATAACTACAAGTAACATCGACGGTCACATAATTAATGTCAATATTAACAGTATTATATTTAGTAGTGCAAAAACCGTAGTGGTAGTAATTGCACGTTATTTATCAGAACATAATTAAATAATAATAGTATTGCACATGTTACATAGTGTTTTGTAATGATGGTATTTATTTATATATTTAGGAAGCTCGAACAATGGTCATTGATGTCATCGAACATCCACATGTTTTACCCTTTATCATATGGCATTTTATTTTATGTTATTTTAAACATTTTTCTTTGTATTTTAAATTATTTCTGGCAATTATTATATATTTGTTACACTGTCATTCATGTCTGTTGATCTGTAAAGCCCCCTGAGACAAATGTGAAATTGTTTTATTTTTAATTAGATTTATTCCTGAATCCATGAGTTGATTCCTGTGAAAAAAGTTTTTTAGTAAAAGACCTTAGGGACGAATCATCAGATACTAAAGTGATACGTCTTTCAGAAAAAGGACTTTTTGTACAACATAATTTCTCCTCGTGTCCGTTTGCATTTACTTTGTCGCATTTTCCGTTTGCAGCTGTGAGTTAGCCGTCACACACACACACACACACACACACACACACACACACACACACACACACACACACACACACACACACACACACACACACACACACACACACACACACACACACACCACACACACACACACACACACACACACACACACACACACACACACACACACACACACACACACGGCCTGAATGATATTTATAGACCTTTTCTAGTGGATTCTGTGTTAAATAAAAGTAGAAGTTCTCCTTCTTTGATCACCCTGAATTCACTTGGCAATCTTTATAAAATGCGTCTGGAAAGTAATGCCAATCAAAAAAGTGCCTTTCTTTGGGGTCAAATATCTGTTTGACAACTCAATCAATTTGCTTGTTTATTTTAAAAGGCATCAGCAGACATGAATGTTGTTGTCGTGTCGGCATGCTTTAAGTACGAAAGAATAAGGGTTCTGGCATATTCCTTTTTTAATGTTTTTATATTTCCTGAGCATCAACAGAGGCGTATAAATCATAACATTTAAAACCTGAAAATATGAATACCAAACCTCCCATTTCGTTATGCTTCCTTAATAGAAAGAGTGCCAATCCAACACACTGATTTAATTAAACAAATGGACTAGTTAGAGCCCTGGGCACTTCCACTAAAGTGTGCTAAGCGGATAACAATTTAAATGTTAAGCAGTGTTTAAATCTGTGGTGGAGCTTTAAAAGGAAGTGGATAATACAGCAAGTGAATCAGTCAATGTATTAATGAGTCCGTTAGAATACAAGCAGCACTTGTAGTCAGTATTTCTGTACACTGGAAACAGTCATATTGTTTTTCCAGAGAACAACCGTCAATGTGTTCGAAGTATAAAAACACAGGACGTCACGGCAGGTATCAACAGAGGAGAGAGAAGTACTCAGATCTTGTTCTTGAGTAAAGTAGAAGTACTCAGATCTTGTATTGAGTAAAAGTAGAAGTACTCAGATCTTGTATTGAGTAAAAGTAGAAGTACTCAGATCTTGTACTTGAGTAAAAGTAGAAGTACTCAGATCTTGTTCTTGAGTAAAGTAGAAGTACTCAGATCTTGTATTGAGTAAAAGTAGAAGTACTCAGATCTTGTACTTGAGTAAAAGTAGAAGTACTCAGATCTTGTATTGAGTAAAAGTAGAAGTACTCAGATCTTGTTCTTGAGTAAAGTAGAAGTACTCAGATCTTGTACTTGAGTAAAAGTAGAAGTACTCAGATCTTGTACTTGAGTAAAAGTAGAAGTACTCAGATCTTGTATTGAGTAAAAGTAGAAGTACTCAGATCTTGTACTTGAGTAAAAGTAGAAGTACTCAGATCTTGTATTTGAGTAAAAGGAGAAGTACTCAGATCTTATACTTGAGTAAAAGTAGAAGTACTCAGATCTTGTACTTGAGTAAAAGTAGAAGTACTCAGATCTTGTACTTGAGTAAAAGTAGAAGTATTAAGATCTTGTATTTGAGTAAAAGTAGAAGTACTCAGATCTTGTACTTCAGTAAAAGTAGAAGTACTCAGATCTTGTAGTTGAGTAAAAGTAGAAGTACTCAGATCTTGTACCAGAGTGTAGGAATACTTTCGGTGAAAGTAAAGCAAGTTCATAATTAGATAGACATCGTGAGGTATTTATTTCCGGTACAGTTTATGTTGAAACCGTTAGAGAG